ACGTGCCTGGACAGGAGAAAGCACTGTGGATGACACTGAACAGTGCTCTGGGAGAAGGAGAAAGGGCTGAGGGGGACAACCAGCAGTGTCTCCACCACCAGCTGCTGCTCTCAGTGGCCCCAGGCATGTTCTCTTTCAGCTGACAGGCACAGTCACTGAGGTGAATGGAGGTCACAGAAGAAATCTCAAGCTGAGCCTGGAATTTGCTTTCCAGTGCAATGGGACAGGCTTGGCTTCTGCTCTTGCTGAGACAGGAAGGCCGATGGACTGAGTCTCCCTTCCTTTGCTCTCCAACAATTCAAGCTGGAGGGTTTTAAAAGGGAGACAGGACTCTGAGGCTGTATTTAGAAATATTCCATGGCAGTGCTGTAGTGAGGGGAAATAGCTGTACGCCGGGCCTCTGGTTACTTGAGGGTTAGCACCTTTTACTTCCACCATGTTAAATAACCCAATGAGTGCACTATTAATACACATGGTAGTTGATGCTAATTTTTGCCTGGATTCAAGCTTGCTGATTCTTTTTTAAAATAAAATCTAAACAACAATGAGAAACCATTTTCCACTTTTCAAATACTTGAAGTTTTTTATAGTAGTAAATGCTGAAATGGGGGAGGGACATGGAATGATTTTGTAACATGCAGCAAGTGGAAATAAAGATTGGCAAACAGCTTGTCAAGAGCCTTAAAAATATTCATATTATTTGACCCTCTAATTTCATTTGGGAATTTATCCTAAGAAATCATTAGAAATGCAAACAATAATTGATATACAAGAATGTAGTAGTAAAAACCTTTTTTGAAGGCCGGCCCCGTGGCTCACTCGGGAGAGTGCGGTGCTGACAACACCAAGGCCGCGGGTTCGGATCCTATATAGGGATGGCCGGTTTGCTCACTGGGTGAGCGTGGTGCTGACAACACCAAATCAAGGGTTAAGATCCCCTTACCGGTCATCTTTTGAAAAAAAAAAAAAAAACCTTTTTTGAAATCTGTCCAGAACAGCTCCCACACACGCTCACCTTTGTAGAAACTCTCATCTCCCCAATAACTGAAACTGGACCTGTGAGAGTTCCCACCCCCTTGATCAGTCATCATTTATTGGTCCAGGGATGGCCAGTTATTTTTCAAGTTGGGTTTGTCACTTGTACCTGAAATAGTACAGATATTTATCACAGCATTATTTATAGTAGCAAAAATTTGAGATATAAAATGTCTTCTAATGAAGTATTGGTTAAATAAACTATGGTACACCTATAACTGGGATACAGTATCATGATTGTCGTCATCAGCTTCAAACACGCTGTGTAATGTATCCTCCATTTAAAAAGATATCCTCCCTACACCCACCATGTCCTCCTCCATCCCACACCCCATCTCTCTCCTCCCTTTCTGCAAAACTCCTAGAAAGATTCTCTAGACTGGCTGTCAAAAACTGTCCCTACTTCCACTCTTTCCAGAATCCCTTTGAATCAGCTTCTGTTCCATCAAAATTGCTTTTGTTGAACACACCAATGACTTTCATGTTGTCAAGTTCATTGGCCAATTCTCAGTCCTCATCTTTCTAGACCTTATCAGCAGCATTTGACAGCTGATGGCTTACATCTTGAAATTCTTCCTTCAGTTGGCTTCTGAAACTCATCTCTTTCTTTTTCTTCTACCTCCTTGTTCACTCTCTCCTAGTCTTTGTTTGCTGATTTCTCCTCATCCTCCCTACTTCTAGACGTTGTAATGCTCCAGAACTCAATCCTCAGGTCTCTTTTCTGTTTTTTCTTTCTTGGTGACCTCATCCTGCCCATGGCTCTAAATCCCGTGTATGTACTGACAGCTTTCAAGTTCTGTCTCCAACTTGGGTTTCTCCTCTAAACTCCAGACAACTGCTTACTGTACTTTTGCATTTGGATGCCTAATAGGCATCTCAAAATTGTCCAAAATTGAATTCTTTTTTTTTTTTTCCTTTTTGTCTTTTTTCGTGACTGGTAACGGGATCGCAACCCTCAGTGTCGCGCCCACACTGCGCTCAACCAGTGAGCGGACCGGTCTCTATATGGGATCCGAACCCTTGGCCTTGGTGTTACCAGCCCCGCACTCTCCCGAGTGAGCCATGGGCCGGCCCAAAAAAACCCTTTTTCTTTTTTTTTTTTTTTTTCCTTTTTGTCTTTTTTCGTGACTGGTAACGGGATCGCAACCCTCAGTGTCGCGCCCACACTGCGCTCAACCAGTGAGCGGACCGGTCTCTATATGGGATCCGAACCCTTGGCCTTGGTGTTACCAGCCCCGCAC